GGGGGGGGGGGGGGATGGATGTACATACACAATGAGTGGCCACTTGATCAGATTTACAGATGCAAATAATGACAGTTGTAACTTCATTAACAAAATATTATCCAAAAGTATCAATGACAAAATTTTTGAACACTATTTTATTGAAATGAATGTATTACAGTGTATGTAGTAATGTTCTTTTTTTTTTATAACGAATGGACAATACATCCATTTTAAAAAGGTAACTAAATAGATCAAAGAAAATTTTGCTTTGATTTTGAGACCTCCCCCCCCCCCCCCCCCCCCCCTTGGAATTTCCACTAACCCTCCTTGGGGTGGGTATGGATTAATTCTCATAAACTGTAATTTCCCTTTTAGTGATTGCTTTCTTTCTTGTCTTGTTTATGACATATAATTTAACAGTTTTTATTTAAACCACTGCTCCAAAATGCCAGCAAACTAGTCCTGCTTGTCTGGTTTACAGTTCTGGTTGTCATATGTATAGTAATTAAACAAAATCTCCATGATACATAAAGCAGGTCATTAACAAAGAAGACGGCCTCTATGGACTTGACATGTTAGTAGAGTTGTTAAATTTTACGTAGTAATTATACATGTAGTTTTACAGTTTCCTTTTTTTTATAATGTTTTGTCTTTTTCCACAGTGTATGTACTGCAGATTCAAAGTTTGGAGTGCAAGTAAGTAAATGGATAATTTCCAATGAATACCTGATAAAGTTAGTTCAACTGACTAATCATGATTCATTGTATCATGGCATGCATCTTGAAGCAGAACTTTGTTTATTGAGAGCTTAGACTAAATATTACACATCAGTCAATGAACTGTGAACAGAACATATCAATAAAATTAGACATTTTTTTATTTTTTTAAACAGCTTACAGAATCAACAAGAGAGGAGTTAATCAACTTGTATATGGATCGACCTTGGTTAACAGGAGTCATGATACATGCTGGATCTCAGGTGACCAGATGTGCTATAAAAATTTAGAAAATAGCCCAAAGAAAATATGCGCACTGAGTGGTTTAAAATCATATTTCTACAACTCGATAGAAACACAGAACTTAAGCATGAGCTGTTGATGTAATGATGGTGCAAGTAAAGAGAATTTACATTTTGATGATCAAAGTAAACAGGTTGTTTTTTTTTGTCACAGTATTTTCTAAAAGAAATAGAAAACACATTCTCTGTGTTTCTAGTATAAATCTGCTAGCGTTCTATCACAAGTGCTGTTCTCTGATTGGCTATGCTACTCACTATCTATTCTGTGATAGATAGTGAGTAGCATAGCAGTGAGCCCATGTTAACAAAATGACAGCCACTTCTTGGCATTTTCGAAGTGTCTGTGAAGAGGATTTAGATAAAGTTTTGAATGACTAGTAGATTTATACTGAAACAATTGGATTATTCGCTCTCAATTTCTATGCGTGATAGTTGACTCAGGCTGTGCCCTCGTCAACTATCACGCAATAGAAATCTCGAGCTCATAATCTAATTGTTTAATAGACACTCTCGTGAAAGTTTGGGAGAACTCGAAAAAGCTGTCAGGGAACATGAGCTCATTCTCCCACTCGTTTTTCTATAACTACACCATACAGTGTACATGTTTTCTGTTTCTTAAATGTTACATTATTAGTGTTAATGCATTAACAGGACATTATTTAGAATGACATTAGAAATAATAACCCTTTGAGTGGCTTGCTCTTATATCACTCAATCTCTCACTGGATCCAGACTGTTCTTGGGTTTAAAAGTTGCAGGGGCCAGAGCAAATGAAACCACCTAAAAAATCCCTATTCAGCAAAACTATAAACCATCTAATGTTTTCCATGTGCACAGGATTTCTTCAATTTTAAGTCTGAGAGTAAATACGTGTAGCTTGTAACAGTGACAACATACAGTGCATGTAAACATGTACAGGATGAAAGCACCTTATTAATCTGGACTGGAAACATCAGGGAGACAGTCACTTGATTCCAAAGGGGTGCTTACATGTATGTCTGTCATCTGCTTTTTGCAGCTGAAACGTTCAACTACTGTGACTAACATTCAATCACTTGTGACTTGAGATCTTGGCAGTGCAAACTGAACATTTAACAAATGTAATGATAGCAAATTAAAGGAGGAAATTCTGTCTTATCAAATGAATGTAATTTTTACTAGGACACAGTGCAAGGTCTACCTATCACTGGCAGCAGCCTTACTTGTGCAATAAATAAAGTGTGAACTAGAGAACTGCTTTCGCATTTGGCACAGTTGTGTCTAGAATTAGCATCTGTAAAACATTATGTAATTATATGTTTGCAGAGTTTTGATTGTCATGATCTTACCTGTGGTGTGAAACGCATTGTAGAGTTTGCTTTGGTAAGGAAACTTTAACAATAACGCTTAGATATAGACAAAGTGTGCAGTTGTGAAATTTTTTTCCCATACTCTTGACCGGCTCACCAGTGTCCTTTCTGTGGAGCAAAGACATCCCCAGTCTTATGCTTAATACATGTAGCATGGGTCTGAGCAAGTCATTCTTTAGTATTTTGTCTTGGGACTGGAGTGTTATTATATACGGGCCACATTAAAGAGGGTCCCTGGGTACCCAGCTGATTATTGCACCCGCTTTCAGTGTTATGTGCCCAGGCGACATCTTTTGACATGCCAACTCTTGGCATGCCACATGTATGTAAATGGCTGAAAGACCATTTAACTGTGAAACTGGCAATTTTTCCGGTTATTAGTAGAAGAAATGACAGATAAATAATAATTCCCTCTTTGTTCATGGCCTGGAATTCATAACATATTTGGTAGCTTCCCATTAGGAGACAAAGCAGTGAAGAATAAAACACTTTTATGGCTTGAAAATGTTTCAGCTTTTTCTTGAAATTAACACTGACATTATGAGGAGAAGTTGCCACCTTTTATTCAAGTATAAAACATATCTGTTCTTCTAAAATGACATTTTTTTGCACAGTATGTTTTAGTGGATAAAAACATATAGTATTGATACTGTGTTGTGCCTTGTTAGGAAGTGAATCGCAGGGTAGGAAAAACACAAGTCAATGTGATTGACATTGGTGGTGGATTAACTGTAAGTGAGGTTAATTGTTTATTGTAGAAGCACAAAGATTTAATCAAACTTGTAAGTTTGAATCTTTGTAGTGCTAAGAAACCCTTTAAAGTTTTCCATTTTGCCTGTTACATATATTTTTCAGAGCTGTATGTATAATTGTAGGGTAAGATTTGAGACCATTAAGCATACTGGCTGGTACTGAGAACCTTAATTTGGAATGAATAGCTTTACAGAGATTTTAAGAGTGATTAAAACAATGGTTTTCTTTATACTATAGACATTAGTATCATTTCTGTCCATTAGTGCAACTCAACTCCATTACTGTAGCTCAAAGGTCGATCTAGCTTTCAATTTTTTTGCAGATAAACAGAGATGACGATACAGTTAGACCATCATTTCAAGACTATGCTCAAGATCTCAAAGTAAGCATTTTCTGTTAGGAGATTCAGGTACATGTACATTTGTACGCATGTAATTGGCCATAATTACAGCAACTGTGCATTCTGATTGACACTGATTGGCCAAACAGGTACGTACTAATGATCGTGAGGTTACCGACCTTTAACCCACTGACTGACTATCAGGTAAATGTATACTGTACATGCATTACACAATCTGATACACAGACTATCGAGATCATTAGTAGAATTCTTCTAGACAGTACACTAATGCAAATGCTGCTATCTGATTGGCTGGGTGATTGTATACTATCAGCCATTTGTGTTCAGTGGCTGAAGGTCATCTATGAAATGGTGACGTTTTTTTGTTTTTCCACAGTTTTGGAGGAACATTTTGATGCAAATAGATAATTAATTAAATCCTGAGAGGACAAAAAGGAGGACAGTTTTTTTCGGTTTCTTGACTAAAAAAAAAACATAAAAATTGGGGGGAAATTTAATGATGCGTGCGTTGGCACACTACATCTACTTTGTATCAGCTGATAGAAACTACAAACCTCACAGCTTATAATATTGAGACTGTACTGATATATTTTTAAGACTGACATTTGTACAGCAGCTAATTACCCTTGAAAATTATACAAACTATGTTAAGAAGTGTGCTCTCAAATACTTGTCTACGACTTTTATGCTGTCAGTTGATACATTTTTAATAGTGCACAATCTTATTTTTAGCAAATGCAGTTTCTGATGTAGCTAAAAAATAATTTTTCTTTCTAAACTAATAATCAAGGAACCTGAATATGGTCTGGATTGTTTGTTTTTATTGCTGTGTGATTCCCATTTCTTTTCGTTTCTTCTTTTTATTAGAAAAATGTTCCAGAATTGTTTCCAAGCTTTGGAGTGTTCAAAAAAGTTGTAACTGAATTTGGTCAAGGTTTCAATGCAAAGGTACATTCGTGAAATGAATATAGCTGTTTTTATGTCCAAGCTCACTCATGCCAGTATATATAGTATGTATCATGTTTGTATTAGTTAAGTTTTTGGTCTCATTAGTTTCTATAGTTGCCATGAAAACTGAAAGAGCAATACTGTTAACTGTTTCAAGCCATTGTTACATATTTTTGAAAGTGAATACCCTTGCAGCATTGAATTATTCAGACATGCTTTTATGCCTCTTCTGTTTTGGTGCAGACATACGAAACTGAAAGTTTAAGCAAATGAATCTCCCTGGAGGATACTGTAAAACTCTCTAAAATAGTCTATAACATTAGTTATAAGGTAAGCTGACTTACAGTAGCAGATTTTTCACAACTGACCTAAAGTTAAATGCCAGACCTCTTATTATCCATGTTTACAAAATATGTTTATTTTTTCTTTTAACTCCTTATAGGCCGGCTGGCTGGCCAGCAGAGTGGAATACACAAAAGTTGCATCTGATGACCTTAGAATAGCTCTTATACATTTTGGAGCCGTAAGCTATTAATATTTACTTTTAGATTGGTTAAAAATCGTGTTTCTATAACTCGATAGAAACACAGAACTAGCACGAGCTGTTGACGTAATGATGGCGCAAGCAAAGAGAATTTACATTTTGACGATCAAAGTAAACAAGTTGTTTCCCTTTTTTCGTCGCAGTGTTTTCTAAAAGAAAACTTGTTCTT